CTTTACCCTGAAGTCCACAGCGTCCCTTTTCAGTAGGAAATAGCTAAGAGAATACACCATCCCCTTTTCCTTATGAATCAGGGTGAAGTCTCTCTCAGGGAGGAGTGATAGGGAATGGCAAAGGACACACTGATAAAGGCGATTGATCAGAACTGGCTTTGACAAGCACTGTGGCAACTGGACAATTAAAACAGACATTCGGTGGTGGGGGGAAAGAAGAACGAACTGGGGAGGATGGTAGAGAAAACAGTGCAAAAGTGATTGAATGAAAACCCAAAATCTCTGTAAATGTTCATTAAAACTAATTTAATAATAATTTTAAAAAAAGTTGCAAATAGAGATACCATTTGACCCAGCAATTCCACTACTGGGAATATACTCCAAAGAGACCATAACCGACATCCAAGCAGATCTATACACACCCATGTTTATCGCGGCTTTGTTCACAATAACAAGGAGTTGGAAACAACCCAGGTGCCCATAAGCAAATGAATGGATAGAGAAGCTGTGGTATAGTCACACAATGGAATACTACACTGTATTGAAAAACAAGGAACTCATGCAATATTATTCAAAATGGGTGATCCTGGAGGACATTATGCTGAGTGAAATATCTCAGTCACAAAAGGACAAATACTGCATGGTGCCACTGTTGTAGAATGGGACTGACACCAGGGTTGGGGTAAGACTGAGAAAAACTGGATAAATTATGTATACTTCATTGAAACAGATGAGGGGGAGAATAATTTTAAAGCGATACATGATAGGGTATTATAGTTATCACAAGAGTCCAGAATTAAGGTTGCATAGTGGAGTGTACTTGGGGTGGTGGGAGGGGTGTGGGGGGATTGTATACCAAAGAAATAATTTTTCTTTTACTTTTCAAAGAGAGGAGCGAACTGGGGGTGGGGATGGGAGGGTGGGGGGAGGGCTGGGCAGGGAGAAAAGTGCAACAATGAATGAATGGAAATCCAAAATCACTGTAAATGTTCACTTTTAAAAAAAAAAACAAACCAAAACAGTGATTGCTACTGCATTACTGTGGCCATTGCTTCTTTTTTTCTAAGGGAGGCAGGATTGGAAGTTAATGTAGTTAGAGTTCTTTCTACAAAAAAAACCAAAAACAGGTTAAATGTAAAGTGTACAGGAGGAGCAGCTAACAACTGAGGGTCAATTCTACAAATTAGTTTGAGAAATGGGAAGATGTTTTTAACTCTTTTCTCTCTTGCTCATTGTGTTTGACTACACAGTATTAGAATGAGAAGAAAAAATAAGTGCCAATTAAATTTTTTCCAGCTTTGCCTCTTTTACCAATAGTCTAGCTCAGAGAGGTTTTTCACATTCCCTGTCCCCTAGGGATAGGCTTCTCATCATTGTAGTTATAAGATCCCATCATATTGGAAACAGCCTCCCAGTGTTCATATCACTGCTGTCTTGCTCGGCCTATCAATCAACATATGAAATGCCGAATTTGAGGTAGCTCCCCAGAGTCACATGGAACAGGCCTAATCAAGAAAACTGAATCCTGAAACTAGACAGATGAGTCTTCACTTCTCACTGAGATTATGAAGATTCCAGCCTGAGGTAGTGAATAGTGAGTGCAAGGCTGGAGGGGATTCATCAGGCCACCACGCAGGGGAGGTCAGCTCCAATTACTCCTGGGCATTTCATTTCACTGATTTCAGTGGCTCTTGGCCAGGATTGCATAACAGATTCAGGGCCAGGATGGGGTGTGGATAACCAGGAGGTCCCTGTGTGCCTTTCAAAGCCTAGTGTGCAGCTCCCTTTGGCGGAGCCTCTCCAGGGGAGTTATCTGGGAGCACTCCACAGGGTGGGGGAAAAGGGTGGTGGGAGTCTTTCTTCCATTTTGCTGCCAAATGCTGAAGGTCCTTTGTGAGATCGCGACCTGGGCAGCCAAAAGGCCACAAGATGGCAGCAGAGGACACAGCCTGAGAGACAAAAATTGAACCATTTTAGGTAGATTTGCAATAACAAATCCAGAAATGAGATTTCATTAGGGAATTATTGTCAGTTATCCATAAATCATGTATTCAAGGCCAGAATAAACGATTGAATTTCAAAGAAATGGGGTAAAACTCATCAACATAGAGAATTCAGCTGCATAGGAAGCCATATGTCACCAAATTGGTTATTTTCCCAAAGTTAAGGCCTTAAAAACACTGATGCTGACAAGAACCTTGTTCCAACCATTTTCTGTGACGTTCCAGTGGGCAGCAATTCAAGTTATTTGAGTGACCTCCAGAGACCTTCCTGAAAGGGGTAGAGACAGGTGTTGCTGGAAATCAATGGAGAAAAGCATTTTAATGAAGCAGGCAGGGCTTTTGGCAATAGGTATTTTGGCAGGTGGAGTAAGGGAGGAATACAGGAGTTGAGGAGAAGCAAGCCCAAGAGTCTTTGTTTGCAGGTAATGGGGACTAAAGTACAGGAAAGAGACATTAGCACTGGGAACAAATCCTAAATGTTCTGACTTTTCATCCAAAGCTCTTTCTCTTATACTCCTCCTCCTCTCAATTGTAAAACCCCCAAATATTTCTAGACATTGCCAAATGTCCTCTGGGGAAAAGGATGATATCACAACATTCTTGAGAATCAATTACCTAAGGGGATATAAGGTTTTAAGAACAGGTCTAACCTTTCGTACTTAGAAAGAAGTGACTTAAAAATGTCTACAAGAACCATATTCTATGCCTGAAACTTGAATTTCTATCATATCCTAATATAAAACAGGGATTATCAATTGAAAGATTCTAGGCTGATAGACTAATTTGACCCCCAGATTTTTTTTTAAAACTAAGTTTATTTATTTGTATCTTAAATGTCAAGATTTCATGTTTAATACAATTTCCAGGGAAGAGAACAAGGGCCCTGTGCTTTTGATTAATCAGAATTTCGTTGTTGTTGTTACGTGCTGTCAAGTCATTTGCAACTCATAGGGACCCAATGTACAACAGCCCTGAAACTTGCTCTATACTGTGCCAACTTTACTGTCTCTGACACACCTAACCTCATTACCCCAGGCACTGAATCAATCCATCTCATTGATAATCTTCCTCTCTTTCTTTGTCCTACCACCCTTCCAAGCATAATGTCCCTCTCCAAGGACCAGTCCCTCTTTTCTTTTTTTTTTTCTATAATTATATTTTATTAATTTTCATAAACATTTACAGAGATTTTGGGCTTCCACTCATTCATCAGTCCCTCTTTTCAAAATGCCCAAAATATGTCTGATGAATCTTCAGTATCCTTGACTCCAAGGAGCAGCCTGATTTCACACTCTCTAGAACAAACCTGTTTGTTCTCCTGGCAGTCCATGGTATATTCAACACTCTTCTCCAGCACCACAACTCAAAAGGCATCAATTCTATCATCCCTGGTCATTGTCCAGCTCTCTGATGCATAGCAAGCAATTGCGAAGACTATAGTATGGATCAAGTGCACCTTAGTCTCCAGACTGATGTCGTTGCTTTTCAGTACTCTGGAGATGTCCATGACAGACAACTTTCCCAATGCAATTTGTCTCCTGATTTCCTGGCTGCTGCTACCAAGTGCGTTGATTGTGGAGTCATGCAAACTAAAATTGTTAACATTCTCAATCTCTTATCAGGCCCTAGTTGCACCCACAATAAAGGGATGGAGTTAAGTGGAAGTCTTTTAAAAAGACTGTTTCCAGGGGAGCTCTGGTGGCCTAGTGGCAAGAAGCTGCACTGCAATCCCAAAGGTGCATGGATCGAATCCACCAGATGCTCTGCCGAGGAAGGAGGGACAATCTCCTCCTGTACCAGTCAGATCTAATTTGACGGTACACACAAATAATAATAATAAAAAAAAGACTGTTTTCTAGTTTGCCATAGTTTCCACCACCTTATGACTAGCCTTACACTTGAATCTGCTTCATTTATTTACACCACTTCACGCTGGGCAGTGCAAACAGTTAATATGCTCAGCTACTAACCAAAAGCTTGGACTTAAAGAGTCCACCCAGAGGTACCTCAGAAGAAAGAAAGGCCTAATAGTCTACTCCTGAAACACCCGCCATTGAAACCTTATTCTTCCCAATATGCATAGGGTCACCACGAATTACAACTGCCTTCACTCTACAGCACCTGAGTTTTCAATTTCTTTGCTGCCTAAACAATCTATTTTCAACTCCCAATCCACTTTATAGTTTGGGTACTTTTCCTTGCGTGATTTTATTTTAGCCTTCATAGTCCAGTGAGTTAGGCAGGATGAGTGTCTTCACATGCACAAAATACACTTCAGAGAGGTTTTTCTTGACCAAAAGTATACAACAGAATCAGAATCTAGGTTTCCTGCCTGATAGACCTATTTATATTGGAGGATGGGGAGAACATTTCTATCAAGTATTTTAATTGGGAAGGAGGGGGAAAGGATGAGTCATTACTTAGGAAAGAATGTTTATAATAATAGAAAGTTTGTCAATGCATATTGGTGATGTTGCACATGATGGATATAGCTGGTATCACCGAATTGTATGTGTGAAAAAATGTTGACTCAGTAAATGTGTTATTGTAAAAAATGGCTCAGGGGCATCTGAGGCCCCCAATTTGAAGATGAAGAAGTAGGCTCATAATCAGCCCAAAGTTCACTTCTATGAAGTATAGGTCAAATATGCCTTTACCCTCTAACTTCTACCAATTCTGACACCATTTCTCAGTTGTACAATTCAGTGACACTTTCTATAGTAATGACCACACAGAATTCAGAGACAACTCATAATGATTGTGTTTATTAGGGAAAGAACGGTCTACAATTCAGGATCAAGAATGACTGATACACAAAAGCCCTGTCTGGAGATGGGACCTATATACATATGGTATATGGAACCCTAAGAAGAGGACTGATCACTTAAAAGATAGCCAGTTAGAGAGAAGAAAGGAGACCTCTCTAAAACCAAGAAATACTAGCCAGGAGTGGAGTGTATATATCCTTTGGACCTCAGGTTTCAGTGTTAAGAATCCCACAGATCTAAGAGATGGTAAGAAGAGGCAGCAGAGCAATGTCAGCAAAATTTGTAGCAGGCTTCCCAAAGAGAAAGGCATCGGCAATGGACGAGCTGAGAAAGCCGAATGATTTCAGGCCAAATCTTAGTCACTGAAGTCAATGCCTCTGGTTTAAGATAGCTTCTTCTTAGCCTTGCCCACAGGCAAGCCTTTCTCTGGCCCTTGATCTTGCCTCTACCCTGCACCAACAAGTATTACAAATCTCTTTAGGTCTGCCAATAAATGCCCAGAGGTACCAACTCAACAATTCATGGCCAAGGAGGCAGAATCAATTCATAGCTGGCTCTCCAGCAAGTTTTGGAGGCTCTAATTTGCATGGGAGAATGCTCATTTTTCTCTGTAGAGTTAGTTGTTGGTAGATTTGAACACCTCATCTTTGTTTTGGCAGCACAGGCTACCTGAGCTCCCTGCAATGCAGTTGTAGCTATTTTTAACAATTAAAAAAAAATGGGGGCGGAAGACTTTATTAGTGGTTAGTGGAACTAAATCAAAGCAGATAAGGATAACTGCTGGAATGGATGAGTTTCATTGTTCAAGGACCACTACTACAAATGATTGACACATTTTCTCTTAGTGAAGTATTTCTGCTTCTCTTCTATTTTTTACTCACTCATTCTCTCAAAGCCATTGACTTGGAATCAAATCATAGCTGACTCTCCATTGAGTTTTTCCAGGCTGTAAATTGCACGGGAGGATATTGTCTATCTTTCTCCCAAGGAACTGCTAGTAGATTTGAACTGCCAAAGAGGCTAGGCCTTTGGGCTAGCAACTCCCCACAGATTAAGCCACTAGTTTAGTCCTCCTTGAGACATGAAAAAAATAACTCTTCCTGCTTCCTTGAAGATGAATATGGTTATGTGATTTGGCTTAGCCAATGACATGTGAGTGGAAGGGACATGTGGTTCCCCTTTGTCCAGAAGCATTTAAATGTCCATAAAAATTTTTCACACTTGCTTCACATTCTGAGAGAAAAACCCTAAGCTTCCTGAGACATGGGAAAGCTCCATGGGCTTGAGCACCTGAAGAATTACAGTGAGCAGTTGTAGTGTGCGGTCGAGTTGGAACTGACTCATGGCTGAGTTAGCAGGTCTTCAGAGGCAGTTAATCGCATGGGAGGAGACTGGCAGAGCAGGTGGTGGATTCAAACGGTAGGCCTTTAGGATTGCAGCATAGCTTGTTACCTCTAGGCCATTACAGGCTACTATAACGTTAGTCTACACTGGACTCTTATCATGAGAAATCAAAATCAACTGTCCTGCTTTTAACTCAGAAAGGTTTTAAATCAGCCTTCTTGAGATCTGGCATTGTTAATGCAGCATAACCTAACCTAACCTGACTGATATAGAGTTCATTTTCATGGTCACTGAGCTTCTCCAAGAACTACTGGAGAACGCAATTTCTAGACTTCTCACCAAATCATCAAAAGTTGCTGCTGTGGAAGACAGTGCAAAGGAATTTGTTGATTTCTTTGCCCCAGCTTTCTCTCCTACCACCCTGTTGAGGAAAAGGATTATTTTCTTGTGGCACTTCACATATAATCTCTGCTGTCCTGACAATTAAAATGTCTGGGAAGAAAACGAAATCATTTCTCCATTACAGTTTCATCTTAGAGCTGCACTAACTCTATTCACACTAAACTGCTAGTAGTATTCACACTGGCCCTTGCCATAACTAACCATTCGTTTCCAAGGAGACACAAACAGAAAGAAATTTCACCATAGGGTCAGGGCAAGGGAGACTGGCTGAGCTTTCTGCTCTCTCCGGTGCCAGGGCGGGCCAAATCCCCTAAGAGGAGCATTCTCCAGAGGAAGAAGGCTTCTCAGACGTGAAGTGTACACCCATCTTGGGCACTTCGTGAATTTCGGCAGCGTCCTTAGTATTCCAGCTCTGAGCTACTGTTTTCTCTAGCAGCTCATAAACTGCTCACTTTGGGTGCTCTGGAGCTCCCATTTCTTTTGCACTCTGGCAAAAGTCACAAATGGTGGGAACTGCTCTGCCTGGGATTCCGCGACCTCACCAGGGCCAGGTTCAAAGGTCTGCGAGGTTGCCAAGAGGCCGAGTCTGCGCAGTCCTGCTCCGGCCTTGAAAAGAAAAGGTGGCGCCGATGCGGGCTCCTCACCCCGGCATGCTCGCAGAGGCGGGAAACTCGTATCGAGTCGTCACGTCCCTCCCTCGGCCCTGCCTTGGCGGCACCCAGGCTCCAGGAGGGGGGCGGGGGGGGGGGGGGGCGGCCTCACTCGGCAAAAGCACGCCAGGCTCCAGGAGGGGGGCGGGGGGGGGGGTGGACAAGGGCCCTGCGCTTCTGACTCATCATCTCCCACCTCTTTCTCGCGCGCGCTGCAAGTCTCAGGACCTTGGGTCTGGCCACTTGTGCAAGGGGGCACTACGACGGCACCTGGAAATCCCTGGTTCTGTAGAGGCCCGCCACCCAGCCCCCGCCCTTCTCCAAAGCATCCGGGGGGAGAGATGTGGGCCCTTAGTTAGGTTACGGCTGTCATGGTTGCGACAGCTGCGCCCCAGTGCAGAGTGACCTACCCGGTTCCTCCCCGCACGCCACGCCAGTAGTCGCGTCCAGGGAAACTCTCGGTTAGGCCTAGATTTACAGAGCCTCGCGTCACTCAGCAAATACACCGCGCCCCCACAGCGAAGGAAAAGCATTTTATTTCCCAGCAGGCTACAGGGTAGCCGGGCATCCTGGGACTTGTAGTCTTTGTTAGTGAAAAGGCACCAGCTCGAAGCGGCTACCGAAGAAGCCCCCAGGAGTGAAATTTGGAGAGTTGGTCTGTGCAGCAACCAGGGCATAGAATGAACGGGATAGTTAGAGATGGACGGAAGAAAATAGTGAGATGGGGCAGAGATAAAGTTGTATGGGGGGTCAGTGGGGATGGAAGATGAGGATAGAAGCAAGGAAGTGACTATTGCTGAAGATTGGCTTAAGGGGACCTGCAGGCGGGTAGGTTTGTTGGGCAGAGGTGGGGGAGGACTGGAATACATGTAACTTCTCCTAGCGGGGAAGGGACGAGGAAGGGGCTTGCTATGGATGGACTTCGGGTAGATCTCGCTGGAGTCCACCTAGCTTTCGAGCTCTATGGATGGGGCGCTGGAGGGTCTACAGGGTGCTCCCTCACGTATTTGTCCCATTTGCTGTACTAGCCGCTGTGGGACCATTCTCCAAAACTGGAACCTCCTCCAACTCAGAGAGGCCCTGAAAACCAGACAGAGTAGTGAGAGGGACAAACTCAAGAGGTGAGAAAAGAGAAACCCCCAGATTGTAGCACTTCCTTTCCCTTCTTCATTCCCCCTCCTTGTGTTCCTATTGCTTTTCCAATATTTATGCAAGTTCTTTAAGTTCCTCTACTGTTTTAGTCCAGCCTAACTCTTACCCACCTTTAAGGGAGAAAAGCCCAGAGCTAAAAAAAAGCTAGTCAGTTTCTGTCTAGGACCCCTTCATATTCCTCCTATCCTGTAGATCCATTGTTTTTCTTTTAAGTACCGAAGACTAGGATAAGCGGTGATAAAATGAGCTAGCAGGCCCCTCCTGTGCCTGCTTCCCTGCTCCCTCCCATACCTCCTGCAGCTCCTGGTAGTACAGACTTCGGCTCCTGCAGCAACCTGACTTCCTCTGGCTCAGAAGGAATAGGGCATATGCAGAGACCAGCACTCCTCCTAGGGTGAAGGCCTCAGCACTGAGCTCCAGCACCAACAAGCCAGCCAGCTGTAGGTTGATAGGGTTGATGATACTATAGGGAACTCAATACATGTTTGTCTCGACCTTCTCCCTTCATATCTTTTGCCTTTTTACACTCCCACTTTTTTCATTCACTCATACCTGGGAGGGGACAGCTGGGGCAGGTGCCAAGGCTGTCTTCATCACCTCGACCACCAGAACAATGAAGCTCAAGATAAGGTTGAAGATGTTGAATATCATCATGGCCTGTACCTAACAGTGAGCCAGGGTCAGTCCTGTGCAGCTTAAGGGACTCATTTCAGCCTCAAGCCCCACCTGCAGCCAGCTTCAATGAAAACTCAGTTCTTGTACTTTCATCTCTAAACCAGGCCATCAGCCCTCTTAATTATCTTGCTCTCATTCCCAGTCCAGTCTATTAAGGACAGGTTTAGTCAGCACTTAGAGGGCCACTTCCTGGCCTAAGGGATGTGTGTATGGTATGCTTGTGCAGAGAAGTGGTAGCATTCTGCATTCTTTTCCCTTCTCACCTTCCAGAGGCGAGGTGCTCTGCGCAGCTCAAAGGTAACAGTCCCAGTGAGGAAAACCTGAAGAAGAGAAAGGGCAAGCTTGAGTTTTGGCTTTGAGTAGGGCTCCTCCCCTTCCTTCCATGCTCACTTGAGGTCAGGCTCACCAAGGCTGCAGGCCCAAGGGTCAGTGCTGTGGCCATTTGACATGCAGAGTTCAGGCAGGCAAGTGAGACAGCAAAGGGCACCATACTCATTGCCAGCCATAGTTGGCTCACCTAGAGGCCAGAGGTAGGTAGGGCAGTTGAAGAGAAACTTCAGGGATTCCTTTCACAATCTCTGGCTCTTCCAGAGATCAGGAATTTAGGATGAGTGCATAGAGAGGGACTATTCCACCAAGAGCGTGGAGAAAGGGCATATGATGAATTTTTCTGCCTCATGTTCTCTCTTGACTCCTTACCCATAGTTTCCCTACTTGTTATGTGCCATTGAGTCGTCTGTGACTCATAGCAACCATATTTACAAAATAGCTTTGAATCCTGCCGTATATCCTGAGCCAGTCTCACTGTCTTTGATACATCTACCTCCTAGATGGAAGCTATTTGGAAATTAAGGATTTTCCTTTTTTAATTTCTGTGTTTCCTTCTCCTTCCTCCCACTTAGAGCCTAGCTTAGTTTCTGGCACATGGTAGGCTCTTACTAAACATAGGAGGAATTGAACGAGGATACAAGTGTGCACATAGAAACCTGAGGTGGGACAGTTTGGCCTCACCGCCAGCACCAAGAGGTTTCCACTCTGCCTGTGTCTTGCCCAGTGCTGTAGCTTTTCCAGACGAATGCTGGGTCTCTCCTGGGTCAGCTGATTAGTTCTCTCCTCCATGGCTCCTTTTGACTATTGGAGCTGGGTGCTTCCTAGACTGGGAAGGATGCAATATGGTGCCTATCAGTATGCTGGACATTCAACAACATCTCTTTCTGCTCCCCCCCACCCCCTGCTCAATTTCCATTTTCCAGGAAGTTGAGGCCCAGGGCCTCACACCTACCTAGTATGAAGTGGCTCCTCAGAAGGGATGAGACCCAGTAGGGCCCTGGGGCTCCCAAAGGGGCCAAGTAACTCAGAGCAAATGACACATTTGCTGTGGCAGAGACAGGTTGTCAGGGCTGAGGTGTGGTGGGGCAAAGGTCCCTATGAGGGCCAAAGGATCCAAGGAGTGGCCTTGGTTAGATACCAGCCTCAGTTCACTCATAAGACATCCAGCCCTGCCTCCTTATGTCATTTCCTGTTGTTCCCATCTCTCCTTACCCCAGGTTCTTCTTGATCATTTGTCTCATCCCCATGGACACCATCACTGTGCGCCCCAATTTCCACCCATTTCTATCCTTATCTTTCTTTCTTTGGCTTCTTCCTCAAATTACTTGCTCTTCCCTAGGGATATCACACATTACTGTCTGGATTGGTCCCTGTTCTTAGCTCTTGAAGCTTTGTCCCCAGACCAGGTAAGGTTTAAATCCCAAACCTGCTTCTCACTCCCTGGATAGTTGCTCCAGCTTCCCATTTTGTAGGGTTTACTCTGGAGCAGACACTGACTGAATGGTTGGGGAAACTTGTTGATGGTTGTGATTGTATTTGAGTAGGTGATAACCTGCAGCTAGGGATGTATAAAGGATGGACTCAAAATTATTAGTTGTGGAAAGGACTCTATTAAAATAATGTTTTTGATAGATAAATGGTTCTTTATACCCTGACAAAACTGAGCTAAAATCTCAGCACTCCTACTCTGTGTGACCCTGAAGAAATTATTACCCAAGAATTACTACTGTTATACCTATTTGAACCTCATTTTTTCACCAATAAAAGGGGGCCTAAAATATGACTAAAGAGTTGTTAATTCAGGAATGTTAATTAAGAACTGTTAATGGTGCTGAGATCATATTGATGAGCCTGATTCTTAAAATACTATAGGGCTTATTCAAAAGCTGAGCTTAAGCCATTTATTTATCTTTACAGTAAGGAGCAGAGCTCACAGGCTTGAAAGATCAAAGAGAAGTGTAAAGCATGTGGTCTGGAGCACCCAGACACACCTGTGTTCAAATCCCAGCTTGACATCGGTGACTAGAATTGGTTGAGTTAGATTGCTGGGTTTCTCTGTCTGTAACAGAGGCAGTTTATACCAGTCTCAAGGTGTTGCCTGGACTATGAAAAGAGAAAATTTATATGAACTATCTCAGCCCATAGGTAGGCACATAAGTGCTTAATGTTAGTGGACATTATCATCATTATTTATTATTATTGAGAGCTCTGTTTGCCTGCCTAGTAGTAAGAAGCTGTGCTGCACTCCTAGAGGTATGCAGGTGGATTCTACCAGATGCTCCTGGAAGTGATGGGCATCACCTCTCTCGTCTGATTTACTGTCTCTGAAAACCGGCCGGAGGGTCAGCTATCAGTCGGTTCTGACTCAATGGCACACAACAATAACATAGAGAATAGAAGAAAATTCAGCTCAAAGACCTCTGGGAGTAAATGGAAGCTAAATGGATTTAGTAGCTGCTCTCAACCCTCCTTGGAGTACTGTATCCATTCTTAACTTTTCTGGGGAGAATTTTATTTTAAAGGAATTTGGAGAACAATTGTTTATGTCTTCCTCCTCAATCTCCACGTACATTCATTTTATTTGGTGACAATGGTGTGAATGAGCCTTGCACTGATTCTTTGGCATGTAGACCAGTGACTGGTTAAGAGACTCAAGCTTCATTTTGAGTGGAGGAGACTAGTACTATTTTAGTTATTGTAAGGATTATCTACTATTAACTATGTGAATAGGCACTCAATAAATATTGATTAAATCTGAGTATGCAATTTATAAGTTCACCGCGCTTATCTAGACCACAAGCTCCTAGAGGAAGGATTCCATATCCCTTCATGTGTGCATCCCCCATGGCGCTAAACATAGTGCCTGGTACTTAGTAAGCACTCAGTAAATATTTGTTGTGTTGAAGAGCTATTAAAACGACTTAAGGAATGGAAAATAGAACTCAAGAGGGAAGGAGCTGCAATTGTTTATCAAGAACAGAAAGGTCTGAAGAGTAACTTTAATAATGTTTCTTATACGGCCGACATTAACTATCTCTCTAATCGCCCCTCCTCCTCCCCTAAAAGAGAGACAGAAAATGTAAGGGAGAGGCTTTGAGATAAAACCCCAGGAAGAACTTCCCGAGTCTGTGCATGTTGGGGCAGAAAGAGCGGCAGAGCCAACTCCTTGCCTGGTATGTCCGGGTTTAGGGTGGGAGGGGCTGTCCAGCTTGGAGGCTGGGGGAAGGACGAGATGACCTTTCAAAATCTCTTCCACTCTCCTGTTCCAATAGTCTGTGCGCCCCACCCCCGCTCCCTCCCTCCCCTCCGACAGCGCCCCCCATCCTCAAACTGCCCGCACCCCGCCCCTGGCGGCCGCCGCTCGCGGCTCCCGGGGTCCCCAGCTTCCAGTCCCGGGAGCCAGAGCCCCGCTCCCGCGCGGC